ATATATATATATACACACAGTAGATTATAAATTCCTAACAAAATGATATAATATTGTCAGCTTTTTCTCACCATCTCTTCACTGCAGCTCAACGATGAAACACAATGAGGGAATTTCATGTTCAAAAGACTTGGAAAGTGTGAACCTGTCCTTTAAGTTTAGGGACCCAGGTTATCAAATCTCAGACAGAAACCCTGGGTGTGGCACTAACCTGCGTTCAGCGGTGTACCAGCCAGCAGCCAGCGTGAGGTTGATGACCACGTCCACGGGGATCAGGTCAGCCACGGCGTCGTTGTTGGCTCTCATGGTGCGCAGGATTCCCTTTCCAGCCTGATCACAGAAGCACACTTAGGACTCCAAAACGTGTCTGTGTGTTTAAAAGCTTTGAGGTGTAAGAGTTTTAACGCCGTCACTTACAGCTATGAAGACGCCACTCGGCCCGTTGAAGTTGTCGATCCAGCCCTGAGGTGTAAGAGCAGAGAAAACGTGTCAATCCAAATCAGATACAACATTAAGTAATCGATCCTGACAGCAACACATTTGTGATTATTAAGTGCGGAATTACATGTTCAGGGTTTTGTTACTTCCTGTGTTGGGAGAACAAGGGACGCTGGGAAGCACTGATTGCCGACTTCAATTAGAGAGCATTAAAAATGGATGAAACCACTGGTTACAGACTGCTGCAGTTTACAACGTGTTGACTGGAGAGCGATTATGCGGTCGAGGCCGAGGCTTCCCCGGAGTCTAATAATACGCTCTGGTGCAGATAAAGTGCACAGATGAACAGGCCAGAGGTGTTTTTAGCAGCACTACAATGTGAGGATGGCTTCATGCCCGACTAAAATGGCAGATAGATCTTTGAAGAGATATTTTGCATCATATTATACGTCGGCTATATGGTCAACATCTGGAGAAATGAAGCCACAAACTGACAGAACTAGATGCATATTATGGTTGTAAACACACTACAACACAAACATATAAATAGCCGCCCCCCCCCTTTGCCTCACAGCGCCTACTGGCACGAGCTGCCAAGGCGATTGCATGGCCAAGCGTGAGTGAGGCCTTTTGAAGAGTCGCTGCCAGGCCAAGCTTCCAACGGAAGGCTGAACACAGAGCCAGGATCTGCCGTCAAGAGTCCCAGCGCACACGCACAAGGCCTACATTTCCCTGACGCCAGACAAACAAGGACTTCCTTGTGTTTTACTGCTATTTCACTTATGCAGCATCATCTCTCAGAGCACTTTTGATTATTTCACGAGAACGTCGAGAGCGACCTTGAGCATCTAAAGAGTATGAGTGTGTCTATGAGTAGGTCTCATCTTATTGCATACAACAGTAAACAAGCTCAAAATAATGACCTAGAAAGCAGAATCAACTACAGCAATTCAAGACACTTCTTCTATGATCTCTAAGCAGGTTTATGGACATTAATTCACGATGGACGAAGTGTAAATCACACTGAATCTAAAAGAGAGAAGGAGGATATTACTCTGAGAAAGATCAAGATTTTTTCTTTCTTTGCCTCTATTTTTAGGGTTTTAGGGTTGAAAAATTACAGATTGGTCCGTTAAGATCACAAAAATGTTACTTAATATAAAGACTACAGGTTATATAACAGTTGATATTCCTTTTATTTACTTCTTGCAGTTAATGCAAAATGATTCAAATCCTGTGAAATGCAAATGTTGTAGATGTCAGGATGCCTGCAGCATCAGCAGCGTGACTGAAAGCAGCTTAAATCGTGGAAGAAGTGCAACTTTCGGAGTCTTAAGTCCTCTGGCCTTTACATGAACTTCTCTGCACTCTTCAACCTCCCACCCTTAACGGACATTCGGTTTGTCAGCGTATCTCCGCCCTCGGTGTCCCGTTTCAGCCCTCCTCACCCCCCCCTCAACAACAGCTGTTTGAGTTGACTGACTTGGTTGAATGACTCAGGACTTCTTCAGCCAAGATATTAACCGATTTGTTTGAATCGTTGGCCTGTAGTAGCTCTGTAAGAGGAAAAGACCCACTGGGAAAGGCTCCTGCCAGCTGGCTCCCACTATGGAGGGTCTGATGATGGCGATGTTGAGCTTGTCTTGCTCTTGCTGCACCAAGTACTCGGCCAGGGCTTTGGTGTAGGTGTATGTGTTGGGCCTGTCGCCGATGAGCCGCGGCGTGATGTCGCGCACGATGCCGTCATCCATCCACCTGGAGACAGACATGAAGGGCTCGGTCAGAGAAACGCAGCATGCATTGTGCTGTTGATTTGTGTATTATTATCACTAATAACTATGTGTTAATGTATACAGAGAGCAGCTTTGACTGAATTAGTCTGTAATCTTCTGGGCCGTCAGCTTACAAGCTACAGACACAATTTGGTAACTTATCACTTAAGAATCCATTGTGTTTTTGAGATGTACATTTATTCTGAATTCATTCATTTGTTTATATGTTAAGACAGATGCATACTCAAAAAGAATCAATGAAAAGTTCCTTCCAAAGTGTTGATACTCCTACATCTCCACTAAACTAAACTGGCGCTACTAGTGTTCAACACAAACACCAGGAAATGTAGCTTCATGTGCGCTTCATGTAGAAGTAGTATTCTACTTTTCTGGAACCCATTCATGTTTCATTATTGCCAGTGACTTTCAGAACTGGGTTAGCCAGATATTTCCATTTCATTTCACTTCTTTCTATCCGTTCTTTTTGAATCACTGAACAAATCAAAGGATGTGGGTAATGATTTACTGATTTGGAACAAAGCTAAGACTTGACATCAAACTGAATACTGAGGGAAAGGTGTCACAGGCAACTAGTGCTGATAATGTAAACAATAAAAAAAGTTGGTCAGAATCTTGGTCTCATTTAGCTATTTGTTTTATGATCTACCTAAAGAGTAACTTCGGCATTTTTTCAACCTTGAAATCGGTCAATTATTGAGGGAGAACACCGCAAACAGCAGCCACTAAACGGGTTGTAATGTAATCGCTCGGGCACTTCTTGTCAATGTACGTCCACTAAAAGTGCCTGTGTTTGCAACCGACAGGCTCAGATTATTATTATCAGTGTCTGACAACATTATGGAAAGGATACTGCAGAGAAATGAAACGTCTTTCTTAGTTTTGTATGAGCTCCATAGGGTCCTTTCCATATTGTTGTCAGACATAAGCAATTTTAGTGGACGTACATGAACTAAAATTGTTTCCATGCCCTCAGGGGGGAAACCCCAGCCCTTCCTCCACTCACTCCATGGACTCGATGAGTTTCTTGGGCTCGACGGGTGGCGGGTAAATGACCTCGTCGATGTGCTTGCGGTTGCAGTTTGCATAGGCGGTGGAGATGTGAACGAAGGCCTCGAGGTGGTGCATCTGCTTGGCCAGGCTGAGGAGCTGCTGTGTGGCGATCACATTCAGCTGCAGGGCGTGTCTGCCGGAGAGAAGAGAGATGTACAGTTAAATAGTGTGTGTGTGTGTGTGTGTGTGTGTGTGTGTGTGTGTGTGTGGGAGTGAAAGGTTTGTGTGTGCTTGAGAATAAATGGGTGTGTTCTCCGTTTGAGGGTTCACATGCAAGAACTTGAATCTGCAGAACATGATGATAAGCCGGAGCAGAATGACAGGACACGATGGTCAGACATTAAACCAAACAGGAAGAGAGAGGGGGAGGGCGACATCTGCTCTCCTCATTAATGAGTCTCATCATTATTTTCACTGAACACAGTTTTCAGCACACACCATCACTCATCAAGCCATGAGCACTTCAGCAAACACTTGATGTAGAGGGCATGCCAGATGTAGTAATTAACCGTTAACACCTTCATATAATCTTATTTCTACATGTCTGTAGGTTTTTAATACTTAAGTACGGAGTGTGTTGCTCAAATTGTAAAGCCGATTTTGAGCTTTGTAATTAACTGACCCGACAACGCCGCCGCATTAGAGGGGAGATCCTATCATCAAACCACGCGCTCTTGATTCCTCCATAAATTGCATCCATAAATGACAAGATTGCATTACACCGTGTGATGAAGTGTGCGTACGCAGAGCGTAAACAGAAACAATCAAAGATGATTTTTAGGAAGACAGAGTAACATGTTGAAAGAAATATATTTTTTTATTAATTTTTTCAATTAACCAATAATTACATGGCCTAGAAATTTCAGAAGAATGATTTTTTGAGCACAAAAAGTATTCTGTGGACAGACAGACCCTTGCACACACGACCGAACGCATGATCTCCCTATACTATACTTATCCCGATGACGATAAGATTCAAAATCAAGAACACCTCTACACCAGAATCACGAGGAAGAACAATATCCAACTCTTGTCCTGACATTGATTACAGAGGCACAATAAATATAAAAACATTCTCCCAAAGAAGTCATAAAATAAATAGTGTTTCTGGTTTTATCCTGAATGGTGCAGCTCTAACCTCATGTGGCCAAAAACACCAACACACCTTTCTCTCCATCAGTTGGTAAACCTGCTGCATTCAGCAGTAGATCTGTGTCAGCTCTGGAGTGGAAGTGCACCAGCATTCAGAGCCCATTTCTGCTCGAGGCGACAGTAAGAACTACTGAGGGTCAGTTAAACACAGAGACTGTGAGATAGAGTGCTTCTCTGGCTGTGTGTGGGTGGTGCTTGCAAGGTGTGTGTGTGTGTGCGACAGGAGGTTGGAGAGCGTGTGGTGGGCGACGGGTCCATCGGCATGAATCAGATGTGGTCAGGTGGTGCCAGCTTGTTAGCAGCATGCACAGATAGATGCAGAGTGGGGACAGTAATAGGGAGGGTGGTGTTGGTTGTGCGTGGGCTTGTCGTCTTCCCACCACCTTCTGGGACCACATGCAGGTCGCCACGCTGTCAGGAAAAGATGGACACCCCGCTGTGCCCCTTCCTGCATTTGACTCATCTCCCTTCTGTTTTTGCTGTTATGTTCTGGGTGAAACTAGAGAACTCAAAGGATCATTTTATTATAACTTTATTACATCTTGGGACATTGTTTATTACAGTAATATTCTACTCAACAGACTGTCTGTGTCCTTTATGTGTGGATAAAGACCAGCTGAGATGTCAGCCGCTGACTGAGTCTTCTGACTTATGCCGTGGTGCTGCCTACGACGCCGCCGGTCGTTGCACATGAGTAATGACTCCGAGAGATGACACAGATGGGAAGGACGAGAGAGAGAGAACGTGGGAGTGAAAGCTAGATGAAGAGGGGTGAGGCCACTTAGCAAAACAGATGGAAGGTGAAGCAACAGAGGGGAGTCAGAAGGCAACAGACGGGACGGATAGAGATGTGATAGCAGTAGCGGATCGATATATAACTCTGTGAGGAGTGAAGTGCAGCAGCTTTAGCCTAACTGAGCAGTCACTCAAACCGCCTCCAAACACACAGCAGTTCAAACACCACCTCTACCGGGAGCAATCCACCTCCACACATGCACGAGAGACTTCAAACACAGTACATGAACGGCCTTATTCTGCAGACATGTTTCTTTAACTAATCCATTTAACACACTGCATATCAGATCAAATAGAAGATGCATATGTTGCTCTACATTCTTCTTTTCTGCACACTGTTTTGCCTTTATGGGGCACCAATTCCCTGTTTGTTATCATCAGATGCAAATAATCCAAACAGTTGTACCGCTGTTGTCTTTTGTTACATTCCTAAACTACAAGCATCACTGGAGATTTGACCTCTTCAGACTTTTCACTTCTCCATGCACCTTGAAAGTATGAGAAGTTGTGCAGAAACCCTCCCTCTCCATCTACAGATAAAGAAGATGAAGCAGAAAGTACATGTTTGCATACCAAACCTGTTGGCAGTGTAATCAGCTGTGATGTGTTAGCATTAGCACTGTGTGACAGCAATTCACCCACAGATGCACATTAACGTTAAAGGCCTGGGATGTGTTGTGGCTGCCTGATAACGGAGAACCAAAGCAGACCACCAGGCTCTCTGACGAGGGGAACAAACTGAATACAATATGGAGTTCCATACAAAATAAAAATAAAAAATAAAACACACACAAATGTAGAAAGTGCATGTCTCATTATAATCTTCTAAATTTGATTTTGTCTGTGTCGATCACACAAGCTTCTTGTGCACAATGTGAATAAAGAAGGAATCACCTGTCTGTCTGTTTTTATGTATTTATAACGGTTGATTTCTCCACATCCCCATCCTTACTTTCTCTTTGCTTTAAATAGAACAAGAGTGCAGCTTGTTCAGCGAGCCGCAGATCCTCTGGAGTGACGTCTCACAACAGGAAGTCCCGGTTACCGAACAATAACCAGATGTGTAAATTATCAGATTCTGTGAAATGCCAAAAAAGCTGGTAGTGGCAAAGAATTTCAAATCAAAAGGGTTTCAAATATATTCTTTTCTGGGAGAAAGCAGCAGAATGCAGATATGAATCAGTGAGTGGATACAGAGTATGTTTTTGTATGAAGGAGGGATGGTGAAGAGTGGGTGAGGGTGTTTTTGTTGATGCATTGATGCGGCATGTGATCCTCACTTGAGCGGCTCGTCGAAGCGGATGGTGGCGGCGCAGTGGAAGACGACGTTGATGCAGGCGGAGAGCTTCTCGACGTCCTCCGGGCTGATGGCGAGGCCGGGCTGCGTCAGCTCGCTGCTGATGGGGATGATCTTCTGGTGGAAGTCGGGGTCGTCCTCCCGCACTCGGTCGAAAAGCTGCCGGACAGAAAACACACCGAGAGAAAGATAAATTTACCCGGCAACATCTGCAGCGTTCAAATAATGCAGCGCAACAGACTTTAATGCCACTTATATTTATGCCCATATTGCACGAGAGCTGGAGGGGAGATCAACTGTTAAAGCTGACGCTTGCATCAACAGCTAAACACTAAAATAGCATGACGAGGAATGCAAATGATCTCAAGTCAGTAAAGACAGCAAATGTGTTCATTTGCATGAAAAAGTAAAGCACAATGTCTGCCGTTTTATTTCATGAAAACAAAAAACACGGATGCCACGAGACATGTGAGACACGTGGATTGGTCAACAGTGAGTATCAAGGTGTCGAAGACGAGGACAACAAAGCATCTCCTTCACACTGTCAGCTATTATTAACAGGGTTGAAATTAAAAATCATCATCTTTCATTTGTAGTAAAAAAGAACTGTGGATATAGCCTAATATATGGGCGAGAGCTGCTTTCATTTTTTTAAATAAATTGGTCGTTTGACTACAATGAATCTACTGATGGCACCGAAAGATCGACTGATGATTAAAATTATTGTTGGTTTCAGCCCTAACTATTTGCAAGGGTGAGGCATACAGATAAAGCACAATATTGATATGCATATCATGATACGGTACGCATATAACGATTCATAGATCAAAAATAACCAAATTGGAATGTGTGTTTCTGCATAATCCGGCAAATTAGATTTCTACCAAATTGATGCATCTAATATTGTCATAAAGCTGTCCTGCTCAGAGAGGCCACTAATTCCAGAGAAGGGAGAGCAATCGCTCTGTACACAGTGATGGCACAATGATCTAATTCATTAGAGTGCAACATTATTCATTCAACTGAAGGGAAATATGTGTAAATATTTGCACTAATATTTGAAGGGCCTCTGTAGGTGTGACAGACGGGTTGGGTTGCACAGAAAAAAAACGTGTCGCTGCTGTGGACCCACGAGTTTTGCTCGTCAGTGCTGTGAGTCGAAGGCGTCCTCTCTGATGAATGTCAAAGAAAAGAAACGCACTCCCTGTTGTATACATAACACAATCTGTGCTGTGCACACCAGACTTACATCCAACAATGTGAGACTGAAAGCACAAGCAAGATTAAACGCTTATGTCTGAGGTTTGGTCTGCGAGGAATGATTGTTTTTACAGTTTCCTTGTTTTAAATCTACAATAATCTTTACATTTGCTGCATGTTACATTTCAGCACAAGCAAATGGATCATCCCTCAGGTTAAAAAACACTCGTCTAGAACTGCCTGATGACGACGAGTACTCGTATGCTCATGCGCTACATATTCTACACGAAGCCCTGCTTGTGTGATATCATCCCACCTTTTACACAGCTGTTTGCTCACTGAGGGCTGCAGACGACATTCCAACATGGAGGAGGAATAAGTCATCTCGATTTACCAGCTCATGTCTCACACACACACACACACACACACACACACACACACACACAACCCTCGCTGCCTGACAACCCGGTGCACCCTGCAGAGCGCTAAGCACCCCCTTACCACTGTGCTGTAGAGGGAGACACTAACCGAAGGCAGCAGAGAAAGTCAGTCAGATGTCATATGGAGTCATGCCTTTCTTTGTGCGGTTCCAATCAGGAGTCGCAAAGAGAAGTGTCGCCAACATGGCTGACATTTCTGGCAGCCGTACACAAAGACGGGAGATGGCATGAGAAGAAGAAAAAGAGGGTGAACGAGAGGTGAAGTGAGGGGATTGGCATCAAAGTGTGTGCGCTGTCCGTTATGAAATTGCAGCTCTCTGTGTGTGTGTGTGTGTGTGCGTCAGCTGTCCTAGTAAACAACAGCACTCTTGCTGAAGAGGACAGATGTTGAATTAAACAGCTTCAAACAGCTGTTTATATTCATGTTCTGCTTAGCCATCATTCTATTGCTTCGTAACGCTGCTCTCCAAATACCCAAACGCCAAGTCCTGATGTAAAGCATGTGATGTCATAACCAAGAACAGTTCCCAACTGGGGGAGAGGAGTGCATGCGATGTTTTCTGCATGACAGTGCAGCACTGTTTTCATTATGTAATGCAAAAAATAGTAGTGCTTTCCCTCCCTCTGCTTGAGGCCAACGGCTTGACAGTAACAGAGACCTAAATTCTGTATTAAACCCTCCCATATCTTCTCTATATTGATAGAGGTTTTTGTTAAAAAATGTTGTGATATTTGATTTTCTCCTGCTCCGTAAACTTCCCCACTTTACTGGATGATTCACAGAGCTTGTGATGTCATGTATTGACCTCAGTTCAACTTCCTCTTGAGGGCGTGTAGCTTGGCAACGCTAAACAAACCACCCAGACATTGGCAGCGGCCCGTCGTGGACTAAACCTTGTGGGTTGCATGAAGAGGATGTCTAAAATGTAAACTCCTCTGACAGCCCTGATTATGCTGCCTGTCACACACCGTATCTGTCAGAGACACATCAGGTGAAAGAGTTCATTGTGACAGAACGCTGTCATAAACGTGACCTGCCATGGCCTTTTGGGTTTCTCCAGCTAGTCAAATGCTGATTTTACGTGGGGAAAATATTAAATGCGACACATGTGACTCACTCGTGATGTTTGCAACTGCTACCAAGACAAAAACCACAAATGTAACACCAGAAAAAAGCACAAAGGAAAACCTCCTCAATACTGCAACGAGAAGTGTTGGTTTGACTGAGGAAGAACTCTTGACTGCAGTCGTAGTTGTCATACTGTGTTTAAAATAGAGCAGGCACAATAAGTTACGATTTAATACAAAGAGTAGCTGGCAATATCATACGGCTGCCCCCTCATAGTCGATTATTAGTCAACTAATCTGTTGTTTGGTAACACTTTTATTCAGCATAAAAAAAACGAAGACCAAATTCGCCGATTAGCCGACTCTGATTTCTTAAGTCCATTTGTCGTGATGCTTTTTTGAATGTTGTGTAAAATGTTAGCAAAGTTGAATTATAGAAAGACCCCGAGGGGAGAAAGTGCATCGGGTTCAAAAGGGTGAATGAGGCCGTTGAATGTGGGCTTCAGAGCGCTCTTTGTTATGGGCACAAGCAGAGAATGGCATTGTGGGATTGTTCTGTTCTCTTTTCTTGTGCCAGCCTTCCATCGCTCGCATTGACCGTCACACCCTTCTCCGAACCCCACGGGCTATTGTATGCCTTGTGCAGGAATACAATAGTCCACCAGTTTGCCGTTGCTCAACACTCTGCAGGGACGGCTGTGGTGATGTTTAACCACGAGTGTTTTAGTAGTCAGTCAAACAGAGTCGTGGCCTTGAACCAGCACAGATAAAGGTGGTCTATAAAGTCAGTTCTGTGAATGACTTTTCCTTCGCTTAACCTGAAGAGGTGGCTTTTACATGCGGCCACTATTTGTCCTTTCTCTGCTCTGGACATCTCTTTCCCTTAGGACAATACATCTTCCATACACATTGCTTGAAGCAGCTGTTCGTACGACTTTCACAGAAACCCAACGCTAATGGCACTTTCCTTTCAGCCCAGCAACCCGAGATGCCATTCAAACAGCCTCTCTTCTCACTAACTGCCCTTTAACTGGTCTCCACTCTTTTCACAGCCTCCTTCACGCAGACCTTTCCCCCGGAGCAGAAACAGAGAGAGAAAGGGCAAGAAAAGACGCACAGAAACTGTGAGCTAAGTGTTTTGTTTTTCTGTCCAAAGGGTTTATCGTAGCAAAATGTCATCGCTGTCTAGTGTTTCGGAGAGGGTCCTCATGTATGAGGGGGGTCAGAATGGGACAAAGTGTGAAGCAGAGCTAAATTATCTTCAGAGGTGTAAGATAACTCTGTGACAGACTGGAGTCTTGACTTCGGCTACATCCACACTTCTACATTTTTGTTTTAAAAGAACGAGTATTTTAGCGCTGTTTCAGAAATAATCTCTGTCGATGCTACCATACCATTTGCTACTATTGTATTAATATCATTGTGCTGAATATCTTTGTTTTTTGATGACTTAAACTCCTTGATCACGGTCGATAATTGGGCATGAGCACAAAAGTCCATACAATACATTGTGGAGCATGTGGTCAGTCGTCATTAAATCTCAGATGCCAGCGAGGTTTCTCTTTCTCATCTGCAGAACTGACAAGGCTGCATACTAAAAGAGGGAAGTAAGGAATGAGAGGAGTCTCATGGGAAGGAGTGAGGTAGGGCAGACATGGCTAACCCCCGGGGCTGTCAGCATATTAAGGAGAGAAAAGGTTCATCCCTGTCCCTGCCTCTGCTGCAGTGTCCCAGCGGCATGAAAACAGATTGAACCAGAAAAAAAGTCTCCAAAACCTCCAGTCTGTGGAGGAAACAGCCTGCCTAAAAATCTTGCTTATCCATTGGCGTACTCCTGGATGCCAAGACAACGAATGAATGTTGGTGAAAAAAAATGTAAACTAAATTCGCATGAGGGAGCAAGTGTTCTGGTTTATCTTCAGTTAAGCACTGTCTACTAATAGTGAAATATTTCACGAGTGGTCCACTTAAGAGAGACAATCCCGGCTCTACTCTTTATTCAACTCTTTCAACCCTGAATCTCACAGCTTCTTAAGAGCTTAGGGAGGGGGGGGTGATCAAGCATTGCATTGAGCAGCTCATCACAGCAAACTAAGGAAAATGGAGGGTTTTCTTATGTCTGGCTCTGGGCTATCATTGTACACAACTCAATTGAGAAGATCAATAAGAGCAGAGTAATAAGGTTTCTGGGCTTGGCGTTGGGTATGACGGTGGCAGACAGTGACCTCATGCTGAGCCAAGGAGACTTTTATTACCCTGCAAGAGCAAACGGACAGAAATGAGACTCGAGGTTTATGATGTGTACCGCAGGCTTTTGTGTCCTCATTAAACACCACAAGGAATTGAAATGGGATTGAATGGTGAATCAGCTTCTTTTGAGTATGATGCTTAGAGAGCCAGTCAGAGCATTTTTAAAATATTAGTCTTCTGAAGTCATCTGAAAGAAGTCAA